TCACTGTTACTATCATTTTACTTATGGTGAGCAGGCAAGGAAATGTAAAAAGCCATGTAACTTCGATTCGGGAAACGCCAAGGGCGGTCGCAAGTAGCGGCCCACGACTGCCCAACAACAACAGGCCGTCTGTTTGTTACCGATCGTGTAACGGAGATACAATTCTTAGTGGATACTGGTTCCGACCTGTGTGTCTTCCCGCGGTCAGCTATTCGGATGCCCTGCACCAAATCCAAGTTCGATCTCGTCGCTGCTAATAATACAGTGATACATACCTATGGGCCTACTCGTCTATGCCTAAACTTGGGCCTCAGGCGAGACTTCACCTGGAGCTTCACTATCGCGGACGTTACCAAGGCCATCATAGGAGTTGACTTCTTGAGCTACTACAACCTCCTAGTGGACTGTAAGAACCAGCGTCTGGTTGATGGCACTACCACCCTGTCAGTTGCAGCTATCCAGTCGGGAATATCTGACCACATTTCGTCAGTTAAGGCTTTTACCGGGAATACGGAATTCCACACCTTACTACGCGAATTTCCAGAGATAACACGACCAGCAGGTATAAAATCTCCGTCTAAACATAATACTATGCACTTTATTCGAACCACTCCAGGTCCACCTGTTTCTTGCAAGCCACGCCGTCTTGATCCAGTTCGCTTACAAGCGGCGAAGAAGGAGTTCGAGGACATGCTCGCATGTGGTACTGCACGACGCTCGGAGAGTCCCTGGTCTTCTGCACTACACTTGGTGAGGAAGAAGGATGATGGATGGAGACCATGCGGCGATTATCGCGCCTTAAACGCCAGGACTATTCCAGATAGGTACCCCATACGTCATATACATGATTTTTCTCATCAGCTCTCAGGGTGCACCGTCTTCTCCACCATCGATCTGGTTAAGGCGTATAACCAGATTCTAGTCAATCCAGAGGATGTACCGAAGACCGCGATCACAACGCCTTTTGGATTGTATGAATTCCCATACATGACCTTTGGTTTACGGAACGCTGCGCAAACCTTCCAGAGATTCGTCGATGAAGTTCTTCTCGGCTTGGATTTCTGTTATGGATACATTGACGATATTCTGGTCTTTTCTCCTTCTCCAGAACTTCATCAGGAGCATCTACGGCAGTTGTTCGAACGCCTGAAACAGTATGGGATTTTAATAAATACATCAAAGTGCAAACTGGGGCAAGCAGAGGTGACGTTCCTTGGATATCAGGTGTCAGCAGCTGGTACTAAGCCTTTGGAAACAAAGGTCGAAGCTATCCAGAACTTCGCAGCACCGAAAACAGTAAAGGAGCTTCAACGTTTTCTTGGTATGCTAAATTTCTACCGACGCTTTATTCCTAAAGCCGCGCAGATCCAGGCACCGCTTACTAATATCCTCGCTGGCCCACGCATTAAAGGCTCACAGCCTATCTCGCTTACACCTGAAATACTAAAGGCTTTCGATAGTTGTAAGGCTTCCCTCTCGCAGGCCACACTACTATCTCATCCAGATCCTATCGCTGAACTCGCAATAGTCACGGATGCTTCTGACGTAGCTATTGGAGCCGTGCTACAGCAGAAGAAGGGCGAAAATTGGGAACCATTGGCTTTCTTCTCTCAAAAATTAAATACAGCGCAGAAGAAGTACAGTCCGTATGACCGAGAATTGCTTGCAGTATATGAAGCGATAAAGTACTTTCGTCATATGGTAGAAGCTCGAACGTTTATGGTGTTTACGGACCATAAGCCACTCACATTTGCATTTTCGCTTAACAGAGATAAGTGTTCACCTAGACAGTTCAGATACTTAGACTTCATCTCTCAATTTACGACTGACATCAAATTTATATCTGGACGAGACAACGTCGTTGCGGATGCCTTATCACGGGTGGAAGAGGTATCTTGTGCCATTGACTACCAGTCTCTTGCACGGTCTCAGGAAAGTGATCCGGAGCTGCAGGAGCTACTTCACAATGGTACAGCCTTGAGGTTGAAGAAGATTAGCACCGAATCGTACGATTTGCCTATCTACTGCGACACTTCACTACCAATGCCTCGTCCGTACATAACAGCAGAATTCCGCAGGCAAGTCTTTGAGATGCTTCATAGCTTACACCATCCAGGAAGTTCAGCTACTGTGCGACTGGTTACACAAAGATTTGTTTGGCCAGGGATTCGCAAGGACTGTAGAGAGTGGGCTAGGCAATGTCTAAATTGCCAAAGAAATAAAATTTCCCGTCACACCAAATCTCCCTTGTCTTCTTTCCCTTCTCCTTCCTCACGTTTCTCCCATATTCACCTCGACATCGTAGGACCATTACCTCTTTCTTCTGATTACAGGTACTGCCTAACAGTCATCGACAGGTTCACTCGATGGCCCGAGGCGTACCCGCTTCGGGACATCACCGCCGAGACCTGTGCTGCCGCCCTCGTGTCTGGGTGGATATCCAGATTCGGCTGTCCAGAAAGAGTGACCACCGACCGTGGTCGCCAGTTCGAGTGCCACCTCTTCAACGCTCTCACAGCCTTGGTTGGTGCGCGCCACTTCCGCACAACAGCCTACCATCCCGCGGCGAACGGTATCGTCGAACGTCTTCACCGCCAACTCAAGGCGGCGATAATGTGCCACGCTTCGCAGTGGACTGAAGCCCTTCCACTGGTACTCCTCGGTATGCGTAATGCCTGGAAGGAGGACCTTCAGACGTCTCCTGCAGAACTGGTGTATGGTGAGCCTCTTCGCCTGCCCGGGCAGTTCCTGTGCCCAAGCGACGACTACAAGACGGCGGACGTCACACAGTACGCGACTCGTCTTCGCGCGTACATGGCAAAGCTGTCACCCCGTCCTACAGCCTGGCACACCACTACATCCTTCTATGTGCCACGCAATCTTCACACTTCTTCTCACGTCTTCGTTCGTCAAGATCGCATGAGAGGTTCTCTGGAATCACCGTACACGGGCCCCTATAAGGTTGTCAACCGGCAGCCTAAATATTTCACCCTAGATATAAACGGAAAGACTGCAAATGTATCAGTCGATAGACTCAAACCGGCGTACATAGCAAAAGAAGCTCAAGTTCCAGTCCAACCAATAACAGCGCAAGAGGACATCAAACGCACTTCCAGCGGCCGACGAGTCCGGCTACCAGATTTTTATCGACCGTAGTCACGGTCTCCGGGGGGAGTGATGTAGCCTAACTTATCTTATAATAGCAATTAATTAAATTATTATGTTAAAATATAATATTTCTAATATAGATGTTCCGTAATACTCCTTCTCCCGGAATAATACTTTAACTTGAAGGTGACCCGCGCGAGGCGCGAGCGCCGCGCTGCACGCCACACTCGACAAATGCTATTGCAACGCGAAGCCCGTGTCGCTTGTAATTACGCCACTCAGTTATACGTACTCGTTAATTGCTATATGTTAATTTTCTATCTTCTTAATATTTACTAGTATTCGTTTATGTCTTTAACTCTTTTATTGTATGTGCTCTTGGACTATTAATGTGTATTATAAACTGTCTCTTCTGTGTATCGTGTTTAATAATTAATACAAACAGTTTAAAAGACTTAGTTAACGTTATTTTTCCTTCTACAACTGCACACATCACCAAGTAAGCCTACAATGAACTACGTTTACAAACATGAATACATACATAAGACAAAAATATATACATACACGTATAATATATACGTATTAGATGTTTATTTTAAGTTCTTTTAATTATTTTCATATCAATTTGAACGTTACATATGAAACACACATACATGATACAATATTTTCATCCCTGATGTGATGGTAAAGCCAAGAGAAGGATTAAACTCTTCGATGACTTGTAGTAGTCGAGTTCGGACTAATCTAACTCATTTAGATGATTTAATTATATTACAGTTGGTCAAAAGATAATGTTTTTAGTATTTGAAGATTATAATTTACTAGCGACTCACCCTCCATCCGCTCAGGTTCGTCTCTACGTTTTAAGGTAAGTATAGATTTCTCAGAGACACGACAGACAGATAGACAAAATTTCTAAAAACTATAGATTCGGCCTCTGTATCTGTAACTAGCGGCTCACCCTCACTTCACTCAGATTCGTCCTGTTGATTCCCCATAAAAACTTTCCTCCCCATTTTCACCCCCTTAAGGGATTTCTATGATAAAAATGTCCTATGTCCTTCCCAGGGTCTCAAACTATCTTCTTACCAAATTTCGTCTAAATCGGTTCAGTAGATCTAGAGGTTACCACCTACAACGTCACAAACTCAGAAACTTTACCTCTTCATAATATTAGTATAGATAATGTCTATTTCAATAAGTTCGGCTTAGTTACAATTTTATTATATGTATATTCCAGATTGTAGTGTTGTTTATTAATAGGATATTTATATGATAACTTTAGTACTTCAAGTAGTTTGATTAACAAAAAGACCAATACAATATACAAGGATTCCAATATTTCGCCACTTGCAACGAACAACGTTGTAACTGAGCATTAAAATAATTTAAAATTAAAAGTTATTGTCCTCATATAATTTTTAAGTTCAAATTCAAAATTGCTACAATATTAAGTTACAATGTTGTTCTTAGCAGATGTTGATTTTTAAACTTGGTATTAGCCAGCCACGGTTATTTTAATATTTTTCTAAGTAAATTAATTTGGTGTGTATGTGCAGAGGATAAATAGATAAAATTATAAGCAATGCGGTACTCTCGGGGGTCACATTTCGAACATATTTTTAGATATCGCTGTGACTGAAAATTATTTTTAGATATAATTAAAGCATATCAACAAGTAATTTATTCTTTTAATGATGTTCAACGATCTACTTGTTTGCATATAAATATATGTACAATGTATAACTGCCTCGGTGGTTCAGCGCGTAAAGCCACAGATCCAGAGGTCCTGTGTTCAAGTACCGGGTAAGAAATGCAAGCGAAGCTACGTCGCTCAGGTTAGACTAAAAGACTAGCTAAAATAAACTAAATATATTATATACAAAACTTACAAACACAGCATACACCCAGTCCATGAGCACAATCCCCCAACGCCTTGCCGTCTCGTTGTCTGCAATCGTAAGGGTTGAGGCATATCCCAGCTCTGGCGATGGTAAAGCCGGAGGGCTGGCACTCCCGCTCTCCTCCAACGGGGAAAAAGTTAAGAACTTTGCCCCAGGAAAGTATACCACCTGGAATAAAATTTACGGCCTTTTAAAAGATACAAAATTAAATGTGTCTTCAGACAATACGACATTGGAAAAAAATGTAACATAGGTATTATGAAATTAATCGAAAATAGTTAATAATTAACATCTAAGCTATATATACTTTTACAAAGTAATAGTGTAATTTAATAGTGTTGCTTAGTAAGTTGTTTTTAAATAATAGCAAACTAAATTAAAATTATTATCCTTAATTAATTTTTACTTTTTTAAATTACACATAGAACAATTATATGGCTTAAATAATTAATACTATATTTTATATTTTTCTTTATGGTTATAAATATAATAATGGCAACACTAAATATAGATTACTAATTAATATTTTAAAATTGTAATAATTATAAAAATAATAGCAAAAATTAAATAAATAATTTTCCATATTCAATTATAATTAAAATTATAAAAATGTTTTAAAGTTAAAAATATTGTAATGTAATTGGTGCATTTTTCATTTTTTTAATTGTGGGTAGGCTGTCTGTAACAACTATACATTCAAGACATGTAACACCTCAGTCTCTCCCGTGACCATGGATGCTGTAAAGCATTCGAAACGTCGGGAACCAAAAATCAAAATAAATCCGCGAAATAATCCGAAAAGATAGTTTTATTTAATAATGTCAAACATTCGCGTAAATCTAAGAAAGTATTATGACTTTAGCTATATATAATATTTTTTCTAATATTATAGATCTTTAGCATTAGTAATTTTAATCTTTCATTACTTTTGGTAGAAGGATTTTGACACTTTTAAGTATTATATTTAAACAAAAAACAATTCTTCAATTGCCAACAAGTGTATTATATAAACTATTATTTTTATACTATTGTGTCAAACTAGTCTGATATGTTTAAATTTAAGTACACTACTGGAAGTAAACTGGAACTCTAGCTTTGGTTGAATTAGTAAAAATACGAGCTCCTAACTGCCACCTTTCGGACTTTAAAACAAAAAAATATAGAATGTAATAACAACTAAAATGCTTAACGTGTAAGTATTTAAATTTAAATATTTAGTCCAAAACTTATTTGTGTTGATATAATGTTAAGTAATGATACAAAGTTAAGTAATTTTATAAATTTGTACAATTTTGGCACTCTACATCCTTCCATATCTATAAGAATCTGCAAACAAGAGCTAGTATATAAATAAATTTAAAGCTCAGTATTACCAGTATTAGCATTTTCAAGTTTGCACTTTGATTAACACTATCTTAAATTTTTGGCCATCTTCCAGCACTTTACCGCAGACTTGTTGATATTTTAAAATAACCCTTATATAACTTTGAGTACTAGAAATAAATAAAAGTAAATATATAAATATATTTATATATATATATATATATATATAATTTTGTAGCTATTATTCCCAAAGATATCTCCAAAGGAGTTCTACCTCCCATTAGCTTAAAAATCGATCAAAAATATTTCAACTTTAAATTAACAGTGTTTACTTTGTCCTAGAATATTTAATATAAAGACCTATGAAGTGAAATAAAAACGAAATATTTTTCATAATATAAAAACAGAACACAAATCACTTTTCCTGCTACAAACCTACAGACAGCCGGCAAGATATATATAAATAGGGCTAAACTACATTCTAAACCAAGTCAGTGAACCGGTAGCGTTAATACGAGTTGTTCAGACGCTGCAAAGTAGACTGGCCAATTACTAGGTACGATATTATACAACTTAGTTTCTTTATTTCACTCGTTGAAATATCAAAATTAAATATTTTTTATCTACCGTGTAAATTATCTGTGGATTATTTAAATTTTGTATTTTTCCAATAATACTGAAATGTGGTTTAAAGACCGTAACCATTCATATTTGGGCATTTATCTATCTATATAAAAAAAACTAACTGTTTCCAAAAAAAAAGTATAGATTGAATCTCGTCAATAGTTTAGTCAATGGGTTATCTGCTAAAGAAGAAAAAAGAAAATAAGTTGACAAGCACAGGAGAAAAAGTACTGAAATATTTTGTCTTTGCCCATTTTTGTATACATAACTAGCGACTCATCCTAGCTCCGCTCGGGTTCGTCCCTACCTACGTTTTAACATTTAGTACAGATATTTCAGAAATAAGATATTTTCCTGTAGTAAAAAGCATCCTATATGTTGACCCGGATAACCAGCTATCGTCATACCAAATTTCATCAAAATCTATCCAGTGGTTTCCCCGTGATGCGATAACAGACTGACACAGACAGACCGACAAAAATTCTAAAAACTATAGATTCGGTCGCTATATCGATAATAAAGTCTATTTCAATAAGATTTTCCAAAAAATATTTAATGAACAGATTCGGCTTAGTTACAATTTTATTATATGTGTATATGTCGGCGATACGAATAGAAATCTTATAATACCCTATCCTAAAACGGACTAAAGACTCTTTAGTCGTAATAGTAGTATTTAGTAAAGAGTCCCCATGATGGATTTCCCTAGCGTGAAAAACTAATAATTTGAGAGCCTAATAATTGAAAGTTATTATAAATATAAAACATTTCGAAAGAGTCTAATCGTAACACAAGCCATTTTCTCGAATTATAAAATTTTTTTTACATTACTTTAGATCAAAATCAAAAGATTAAAATATAATAAAAATAAGAATAAGACACGGTTTTGTTTACATACACGTAGCAACGCGGCACATTTTAATGAAATCCCAAAAGGAAACTAAAACTTCATTGTAAAAAGCAACGTTACGGCTACGGGGAGTGCTCGTCGTGTGTTACAGACTACTTTGTAATAGAATTTGTGGAGTATTTTATTATTAGAACAGAACTTGTTACAGTCAAAATAAAGAAAAAATTTCTTCGCTGATATGTGTATTTATTATATTATATTGTATCGTAGACGATATGTAATTTTTATTAGACTATTCGATAAAATAACGTCTAGTTTCAAACAATTTGAAAAACTTAAGTGAAATTATAAGGGAATATTATATCACATATTAGTCCCTCAACGACCGCGGACACGCCGGCATTACAGTTAACAATAGATTTCTTAGAAATTTAATCAATTTCTTAAAAATTTACCTGGAGGTGTTATATTTATTTTACAAACTTTAATATGAATCAGGGCGAGAAATATTTTAATTGCATATACTTCGAAGAATTTAATTCTGAAATTAAAAAACAAAAAAGTAAAAATAACATAATATTGTGGCCTCTGAGTACAAACAGTCTATGCATGACTAACAAGAAAAATAAGTATAGAGAAAAATAGTGTATACGCTGCCTCGAGCCACGTCTCGAGTATTATAGGCGAATGTCTTTTTTATTCTAAGAAGGTTACGTGCTTTAATATTTTTGCAAATAAATTGGGCGTAAATTGTTCATGTTTTCCTTAGATTATGTTTGATTAGCGACTTGCCATCGGGTACCTATTCTCGGGTGTGTCCTTATGTGCTTTTTGTATTTATAACTAGCATTACCCGCGGCTCCGCCCGCGTTCAGATGACCAAAAACCAAATTCGTAGGTTTTACATATTAGTATACTCTTACATTGCAGTTTTGTATTTTTTCTCAGAAATGAGATATTTTCCCGCGGTAAAAAGTACTCTATATGTTGACCCGGATAACCAGCTATCATCATACAAAATTTCATCAAAATCCCTCCAGTGGTTTTTCCGTGATGCGGTAACAGACAGACAGACAGACAAAAAATCTAAAAACTACAGATTCGGCCTATGTATCGATAATAATGTTTATTTCAATAAGATTTTCCAAAAAATATTTAATGTACAGATTCCGGCTTTGTTACAATTTTATTATATATGTATCTAAGATAAGTACCTACTCGTTTAAAATAATTTAAAATAACGTGTATCTCTCTTCATAATAAAGAAAGAAAAACGTTATTTTTTTAAAAGCCAAGAAAACTTCTAAAAAGTAAATAATAAACTATGTTTATGTTTTAAAAGCAATGAATTTGTTAGAACTTTACTAAAAAGGTGTACCTCGGGAACGAAGTTGTGGCTTACGAGCTTACGATCCACATTTAGAATCTTTTACAGTCGCAAAACTCTTACCAAAGAAGATTTATTTTTTCTTTAAAACTGATTGAATGGTTTATAAAATTGCTGTTGAAGCAACTTTGCAATATTTTTACTCCTTTGCAGTCTCTTGGGAAGCAAATATTGTGAAAAATAATAGCACCGTCTAACATAGTCTCGTGATATTAAGAAATGGTCCCTTGATACCGTAATGTTTTGTATCAAAATCTCTGTTTAAATTTTAATGAAAGAAGATACTTTCATAAAAGAAATTATTTTGTAAATTATTGAATATTATGTTTTAGAAAATATTAAATTTTGATTAGTACACAAATATTATAGAAGCAAAAGTAAGTTTTTTGTGTTTCGATTTTCTGCTTTGTTACTCAGCAACGGACGAGACGATGTGAATCTTACATAACGGATTATTGTCAGATCTAATAAGATATAAGCCTATTGCCGAACCTTAATATATAATTAATCGCGGACTTATTTTATTTATTTGAGGTAGGTGGTATTTAGTCCAGTGGTAACGCGCTTGCTTGGAAATCCATGTGAAGTGGCTTCAAATCCCGGGTCTTGCACCTCTGGTATTTTCATGTGCAAATCATTTTCAACGTGATTACCACTTATCTTTCGGTGAAGAAAACTTCATTTCTGAGAGAAGCTAACAAGTTTTGGAAAGCCATGTGAAATCCGCCAACTCGCACCGACTAGTGTGATGGACTATCGCCTGATCGGTCTGTATTGAAGGGAGACCATGCACAGTAGCGGGACATTAAATAGGGCTAAACTAATGAATGATGAAAATTGATTAATTTAAAAGACAATACTTAAATAAATATTTTAAAGATATGTAAACTGTACAAACATATGTTATTTTAAATAAAACAATCTTTTAGGTTTTTTTCGCGGATTTGTAAATCTTAGAAAGTATTATAGTAATATAATATAATAATAAATTTTATTTCAAGTAACTTAGACTCATATTTTGTTATTATACAAAGGGCTTATATTCTATGTTAGTACTTACATATTAGATATATGCATAATACGCTGTTAAAACTAGAAAAAATCGTCTAGAGACAAACGACACAATATCCATATTCTGGAATCTTGTACAGAATATTATATTTGCTATAACACTAAACCGAGTAACCTATTTTAAATAGCACATTCACGCGACGGCTCTTTTGTAAAATTTTACTCGAAACTGCTTTTGTGATGCTTCTATACATTATGCCCGATATTTCCTAACTCGAGATAAAGAGGTGCTTACTTTTTACCTTAACCTATTTGAATATATTTTCCTGTACGATACAACACTAAATACATTTGCTATCTGTACGAAGTAGGAACAAATGAATTCATTTAGGCTACACTATGTCACATTAAATACGACACGTTTGGCTCAGTTTGTAGTGATCGTACTTGCTGTGCCAGCGGTCGCGGGGTCGAGTCCCGCTGGGGGCATTCATTTGTGTCATGAGCACGAATGTTTGTATTCCAGTCATAGGTGTTTGTTTATATTTTTAAAATGTTTCATGTGTATGAAGTTAATACGTGTAGCGTATCACCTATCTGGTATCCATATCACAAGCCTCGTAGCTTACCACGGGACTAGATGGTGCTGTGTTAATACCCCAACATAAAAAAACAGCCAAACAGACAAAAAATCTAAAAATCATCGTTTTAAGTTCTATTGTGTTAATAAAGAGCCCCAATATGGCGTCAGTGTCTACAGCAGAGTCAGCGGTTTTGGTTGCGGCGACGTAATATCGGGAGCCGGGTCAGCAAATATGCGCCCGCGCCCGCGTCTTGAGCGTGGCCGCGTTGTAAATTCAGTCGTTAGATTCGCGGATGCCCCGACAGTCCCCTGCTCATTATAATAATAGACATTGTATAAAGTAATTGAATTAATCGGTTTGTAAAGTTGTTACGTCTTTTAATTGGACATAACAAAGAACACGCGATAAAACCCCGAAACCAATAATAGTGTTTCCCATATATCTTCCATGTACAGACAGCGCTCAGTTACACTTTTATTATACGTATAGATAGATTAAAACTTTTTCGATCTTTCTCGCAATTAGTACCTATCATAAGTTAATTAATCATTTTAAAATAACACCGTTACAGCGAAAATATCTTCAAGTTCACGATACCACAATCCAATTTATGTATCGACTTGAATAGATTTGTTGGAGCAAAAACCAGACGTTGAAAAGTTAATTAAGGACGCGGCACGAATGCTACGAGTACATTGTTTTTCATTTTTTATTCATAGCTCGGTGCTTGTTAGTTGTCATGGATACAAGTTTCATAGACGGACAGATATTTTTAATCTATATATACATATTTATACTAGCGACTTACTTCTTGCTCTGGTGCCTTAAGTAAAAACCTACTATCTTACTATTTAATCTTACTTTATATTATAAATGTGAAAGTATAGATGTGAGTTTGGATGTTTGTTACTCAATTACGCCAGATCGGCCAAACTAATCTGGATGAAATTTGGCACAGAGATAGATTATAGTTTGGAATAGCATATAAGCTTTTTATCCCGGAAAAATTTACAGTTCCCGTGGGATAATTTGTTTCTGTTATTCTAGACGCAAACCCGAGCGAAACGAGGGTTAGTCGCTGGTATTATTATACAGGCAACTCCAACCTTTTGGCAATTTCATCCAAATTCGTCCAGCCATTTGATGACAAACATACACATATACCTATACAAACTTTCCCATTTAAAGTAGAAGTTCGAAGTAATTTTTCTTTAATATACGCCTTTTTGTTCTCAACTTTTTTAATTAACCACATAAAACAACTTGAGGGTGACACTTATTCAGTCAGGTTGAGAAAAGATGTTCACTGAAAATGTAATGTTTTAAAAGCTTTTAAATTAAATCAGTATCTGCTGATGTGTAAATTAAACTCAAGATAAAATTATAAGTAAATATGAGATATTGTAATATTCTATTACATTATTGTTCTAAATATTCTATTCTATTATAACTTAATAAATTTAACTTAAAAAAAAAGTTTGTGAGTTTGTGATATTGTGAGTTTTTAAGTTTGTGACGCTGCAGGAGGTAATCTCTGGATCTATTGAACCGATTTAGTTGAAATTTGGTAAAAAGATAGTTTGAGACCTTGAAAAGGACATAGAATACTTTTTATCCGCGAAATCATCCTTTAAGGGGTCGAAAATGGGGATGAAAGTTTGTATGGGGAATCAAGCTATACTTTTTATATACTTTGAATTATGTTTACAGTATATACGAGTATGTACTTTGTCAATATTTTTTGCACTAATTATGTGTTTCTTATTTGTGAAAACTTAATTGGTAAATTTTCATATTTTTTATTATAAATTATATGTTCTGTAATATTGTTTGTTTTCCTAAAATAACTAAAATAAAAAATAAATATGTATATTAGCAGCACAACCATATTAGACTTAAAATTAAAACGATCAACCTCCACGGTTTATTTATGGTTACCGGGTCAACATATAGGATACTTTTTACTGTGGGAAAATATCTCATCTCTGAGAAATCTATACTAAAGTTAAAACGTAAGAAGGAACGAACCCGAGTGATGCGAGGGTGAGTCGCTAGTAATATTATAAAATTTGAAAAAAGTAAATGAATATACTAGCGATATAACTTGTTTCCATCTTGTAATGTAGCTAGGTGTCAAATCACATAGCAAGTACCTTCAAGGATAGTGAAAAACTCTATTTATCATTTCTTTATGTAACGACGATGGAAAAAAGAAGTGTTTTATATTTTATATTATTTCTTTATATTTCAGAAAAAGTGTATTCAACCCTTTTTGACGTCCCACTGCTGGGCACAGGCCTCCCTTCAATACAAGGGGCCTCAGGCCATAGCCCAGTACGCTGGCCAAGTGCGGGTTGGCGAACTCCACGTGTCTTTACGAAATCTTGCTAGGTTCTCTCAGACATGCAAGTTTCCTCACGATGTTTTTCTTTACCGTAAGACAAGTGGTAATCAAAATGATTCGCACATAATATTATCAGAGGTGCGAGATCCGGGATTTGAACTCACTACACTCGGTTTCCCAAGCGAACGCGTAACCATTGGACTACCACTGCCTTTCAGAAGTATCATTAGAAAAGTATAATAAAATTTGAAACTAATTGGAATAATCTGTGAAATATAGAACCGATTTATTTATCAAGTGAGTATACTTATACTCACACACTTGTACTTTTGTAGGTTTATTTTAATTTTAGATTTTTAAATAAAAAATATGGTAAAAAAGGAAAACATATAAAAATATTTTTCAACGCCATCTCAAAACAGCCAATTCAAATTCTATTCGAATAAAAATATAATACAATATTTAAAGCTCTTGAGTTTACACGTGATTGGACTTTGTGCCCAATATGCTAAACAAAGTTTATTTTTAGTTTAAAAAATCCACATTAAACAGGGTTTTTTTTTTAAATAAAAATACCGTAAGTATCTTACTATTGCCATTATATTATTTCATTACACTATTAGCACTATTTGCATTTTGTTCTTAATTTAATTTTTTCATATAGCAACTTTGATAAGGTGCGAAAAACGGCGCGATTATAAATTTTTTCCCATATTTTCCATGCATATAAAGACGAGTTTTAATTGTTAATATTAATTATAGCGATATGAAAATTTTAATTACATTGAGAATATTTTATAGATAAATAATATTTTATAGATAAACTAGCGCCTCACCCTTGCTCTGCTCGGGTTCGTCATTTTAAGGTAGATAGATTTCTCAGAGATGACATATTTTCCCGAAGTAAAAAGTATCCTAAATACCCAGATAATCAGCCATCATCATACCCAATTTATCAAAATCTGTCCAGTGGTTTTTTATTGATGCGTTCCCGGATAGACAGACAGCCTAAAAATCTAAAAACTATAGATTCGGCCTCTGTATCGATAATAATGACTATTTCAAGAAGATTTTATTAGATTCAACTCAGTTAGAATTTTATTATATGTATAGATAATACTTTATTAGCCGAGTTCACTTTTAACAGTTCATAAAGTAAATTGAAAGCAATGAAAGAAGTTTAATATTTATTAAATATGAAATAAGTAATGAAAGCAAAAAAAAAGAAAGAAAGAAAAAAAGAAAAAGTGAACAAGAAAATAGTACAAAAAAACATAATGGAAAATCTCCATCTATTAGGTGCTTTTTATTTTCATTTATTCGAGGTCAAAGTCAGAAGTCCATTTCACTTTCACCGTAACGTTTTAATAAAAAAATATACAACCGTTAAATTTCATGGTCGAGTTTATATGTCTGTTAGTTTTAACCGGACTTTGATTACTGTCGGCTACTTTGTTTAGTACTATCTATACATCTACAATCTATACATATAATAAAATTCAAACTAAGTCGAATCTGTACAATAAATATTTTTTGGAAAATCTAATTGAAATACACATTATTATCGATACAGAGTCCGAATCTATAGTTTTTAGAATTTTTGTCTATCTGTCCGTCCGTCCGTACTTCGAAAAATACTTTTTTTTTATTTATTTTTTTCTATCTGTCTGTCTGTTACCGCATCACGAGAAAACCACTGGACAGATTTTGATGAAATTTGGTATAATGATAGCTGTTTATCCGGGTCAACATATAGGATACTTTTTACCGCGAGAAAATATCTCATTTCGGAGAAAAAATACAAAAACTGCATTGTAAGAGCATACTAATATGTACAACCTAAGAACTTGGTTTTTGGTCATCTGAACGCGGGCGTAGCAGCAATGCTAGTAATATTATAAGAAGGCAAAGTTTGTTTGTTTGAACGTGCTAATCTCAGGAACTACTAATCCGATTTTAAAAAATCTTTTTGTGTTAGATAGTCCGCTCATCGAGGAAGGCTATAGGCTATATATCATCATGCTACTACCCATGGGAGCGGAGCAGTAATCATAAATATCAACAAATCGAGCAGACTTCCATTCATTATTGTAAAACTATATATATTATACATATAAATACATAGGGATGAACCTGAGCAAAACGAGGGTGATTCGCTATACAACATATTGAACGCGGGTGAAGCCGCGGGTTCTGCTATATCTATGCGTATAATCTAAATACTACGTGTTAAATAGTTTTAAGTTTTATAATTAATATATATGTTAGTTTTAAGGTATATATGCTATGGGCCTCTGTTTACATATTTAAGATCCTTTTGTAAATATTGCCTGAAATAAATGATTCAATAAAAAAATACTTAAATAAAAAAAAATAGTATTTGTGAAAAAATGTTCGTGAATCTTTTATATTAATTTATACATTTGGTTCACCCACTGGGGGCTTTGGTTGACCCGTTGCAGTGTTCTTAAACTAATATGAACCCTGTTATCCTGATCGTGCTAAAGCAATATACTCTAATCAATAATGCAACGCAATTTCCAGGCACTAAAATGTAAAAAATAACTAAACGGGGGTTTTCATTGAGAATAGATACCTAATC